TAAGGTGCCAACCATATATACCAGAGCTGGCAGGTTCTAATCCAGCCTGGGCCTGCCAAACAACAATGACAACCAACTACAACCAAAAAAAAAAAAAAAAAAAGCCGGGTGTTGTGGCAGGCACTGGTAGTCCTAGCTCCTTTGGAGACTGAGACAAGAGAATCGCTTAAGCCCAGGAGTTTATGATGCCATGGCACTCTACCCAGAGCGACAGCTTGAGGCTCTGTCTCAAAAAAACAAAACAAACAAAAAACAGATAAAATTATTACTTAAGCCTAGAAAAATGTTATGGTTAATTCCATTTCAAGCTAGATAATTTTGAGTAAAAAGTTATCTACAAGATTTTTAAAAAGAAAACAGTATAAATTTATGTCTTAGAACCACATCACTCTGGGGATCATTTTTATTTATTTATTTATTTATAGTTTGAGACAGAGTCTCACTGTGTTGCTCTTGGGTAGAGTGCTGTGACGTCACAGCTCACAGCAACCTCAAACTCCTGGGTTTAAGCGATTCTCTTGCCTCGGCCTCCCAAGGAGCTAGGACTACAGGTGCATGCCACAACGCCTGTCTTAAGTTTCTGAGGCAAAATTTCTCTGCATGTGCTTTCTTTCAGCCTCAAATTTTGAGCTGTATGTATTTTTTTCTAACAGCTTTATTGAGATATATTTTCTGTATCATACAGTTCATCCACTTAAAGTATACAATTGAATGAGATTCACAGAGCTGTGCAGTTACCACCATAATTAATATTAGAACATATTTATCACCCCTAAAAGAAACCTGGTTTTCTAGGAAAACCTACATTTCCCGAGTACCCCCAAGGGCAGGCACTTTTATTTATCTGTTCATTAGTTGATAGACATGTTGGTTGTTTCAGTTATTGGCTAACATGAATAATGAGCTGTGAATATTCATGTAAAAGTTTTTGTGTGGACATGTGTTTTACTTCTCCTGAGCATATCATCTAGGAGTGGAATTCTAACATCATATGTTTAACCATTTGCTGAACTGACAGAATTTTTTCTAAAGTGGTTTGTCATTTTACATTAAGAGTTCCAGTTTTGGCTCGGCGCCTGTGGCTCAAGCGGCTAAGGCGCCAGCCACATACACCTAAGGTGGTGGGTTCGAATCCCCAGCCCGGGCCCGCCAAACAA